TGAACTCGGTAGCACGATGACTAGAGAGAGAATGGACATGATATTTAATTATTGTCTTTGCATTGGTTTGAAGTTGGTTTTGCTATTTATTTTAAAAATCAAAATATTCGATTACCTCTGCTTCCGATTGGCTACAATATCCTGTCCTGAAGGCCTACAGGCTACAGCGTGGCTTTTTGTTGTGGCCGTATTCTTACTTTTTTGGGGGGTGGGGGAGGGGGGGGGCGGGGGGCGACAGAGAGGGGGTATTTAGAGGTATCTTTTTTTAAACCAATGGAAAAACTTTTGAGTTATATATTTATTTTTAGCACAAAAACTTGAACGCAAAACTTGAACCATTTAAAAGACTCTAAAAGAGCCTAATATCTCTATGGAAAAACCTAAAACCCTAAAACATAGTCTCTACTAAATTATGAATACATAGTAAAAACCATATTCATGTCTAAAAATAAAACTGAAACAAAACCATATTCATGTCTAAAAATAAAACTGAAACCCCTCATGCCTAAAACTTATGACTAAAACCCCTTTTGCCTGAATTTTATAACTAAAAGCCCTTATACTTAAATTTTTTTACAAACCCCCGTTATACTTAAAACATAAAGACTAAAACCCCTTTTGCCTGAATTTTATGACTAAAAACCTCCTTTTTTTAAATATGCCTAAATTTTATGCCTTAAAAATATTTCAACCCTAAAAACTATTCCTTTTTTTGGTTGATTTTTATATTCTGTTTTTACAAAAATATTTTTAGATTGGTACTCTCTAGCTAATTAAATAAAACACCGCTGACGTCGGTTGTGCGGGAAATAAATGGAACTTTTATTTTTGTTTCTATTTTTTAAACAAAACCGAATCCCAGTTCCGAGCAAACAATAGAAATGGGCATCATCGTAATAAACTGCAAATGGGCAATAGTTTTATTTCGGTCCACATTTATTGCATCATTGTAGTTTATTATCTTCTCTACTGAGCAAAAAGTAAATAGACATTATTGTGGTTTTTATTTATTTTCCTCATTTTGTAATTCTCTATAGCAAACTTCAACGCTTCTCTCTTCCACTGCTGGTATCATGTAAATACCTAGTTATGACATATGTAATGTAAATACCAAAATTGAAAAATGCCTGTTTGAAGTCCTGGCCTGGCTGTGGGGTATAACTTTATTTAAGGCATCCCAATTTCGTATCACGAGTTCACGACGTATCGAGAGTTTGAGACCGTCGGAAACTGTTCAGATTGCTAAAGAAACACCCGGTTAGAATTTAGAAGTCCGATATACGTCATGATATTGGCATGTTTCGACGGGTCGGAAATTAGTGTGTTGTCGTGAAAAAGGACACATTTCTTTGTCGTTTGAAAGAGGTCGGTGGAAGAGTGAAACAGAACAACTGTCTTTTTTGCTTCGGAAATCGGAACAGCTGCCTTTTTTGCTTCGGAAATCGGAACAGCTTGATGTATTGTCGATAAAGTAATTTTGTTAAAAAAAAGTAGGCTATGGTTTTCATACTTCATATTTTCAGCCACCCAAAATACTTATATTCACTTTTTCAGCAAATACCTTTTTGCTCTCCGAATTTCGGGACCGGAGGACCATATGAGTCATGTGTCCATGAAGCTACGTATTTTCGAAATATCTAGCTTCAAATGACGCATTTTTTCCTACAAATGATTAATTCAATTTTTGCAATTCCTAATCGATTAACGACATTGTTATATGTTTTCATTCCAGACTGTATTTAAATATTATCATCTCAGGTTAATCAGCTAGATATATCATGTAGATAATCACCGACTACAAAGTTGAGTTTTTATTTTATTTCAACCTGACGGACCCTGAAAGTATCAAACTATCCTTGGAATTCTGTCAGTTCACATCGGACATAAAAGCCAAGTTGTTGACCAACGGGCCAATGGCAGAAAAGCTTCCGCTCTCTACTTTGCCGTTTATCTGAGGGATCAAATATCAAAACTTCATAACTTATCTTAGAGGTGACATATGTTATATTATCAAATCCGTTCACTATATATTTCTCCAGTTGGGTTTTAAAGTGGTTACTTCTCGCAATATACCAGTAGAGAAATATCTGTATTTTAACATGAAGGTATGACGAGTTTCGGTGCGTCAGTGTGCGAGCGAGAATTTTGAGAGATATATTTAGGATAAATGCACTTTGGATGCACGCGCTCATAGTGAATATGAGGTTGAACCTGTCTCAAACTACCTTTTATCGGGATATCGAGATGGCTTGTGTTGGCGACCTCAAAAGGATTGAATGTCCCGTGGCCACTCTTTTCCTCTACTTTCAGCTGTACTCACATCGTCATTTTGTTCGTGTCACAGACTGTGTGCTCTGCAATTGTCTTGGCCTCGGCGGTGACGCTGACTGCTGGTATCGCCACAACTCTTGAAACGGTTATGGACCAAGATCAAATCATTGCTATGATCAACACCAATGGTGCATCCACTTGGCAGGCAGGGAAGCACGAGTATGTTTGTCCTTGCCTGTGATGTCTTTAGTCTATCTGAATCATATATCGGATGATACTAGAGGTTTCGTGCACAATTTATGTTGGAAAAAATCACTCGTACTTAAAATGAGAATATTTTCTGTTTTCCAACTTCATCAGCTTCAACGGCATGACCATTGATGAGATGCGAGCAACCTTAGGAACAGTTGTGCAAGAGAACGCGCCTCTTTCGAGCAGTAACGCAGAATTGACTCAGGCCGATATCAATTCGCTTCCCAAGGAATATGATCTGCGCGATCGCTGGGGACATTGTATCCACCCCATTCGAAACCAGGCTCGATGCGGATCATGCTGGGCTTTTGTATGTAGATTGTTGCACATTTCCTAGTACACCAACACATTTATAGATCGTCTCATACATTATCTCGCGACATTATATAAGTTATCATTATATATGTGATCTTATATGACAGACTGCGCTTTTCTCTCAATAGCCATCACTCCACCAGGTGTAACGTGCCTTCAGAGAAATTTTTCCGTTGATTTAAGAAGCGCTTAGCCCGTGTAGTCTGCTAGGATAGACAATCGTTGTAATTCTTATATCTTATACATTGTTGGATAAGTGTGAACAATATCTTCACGGTGTATGGCTATGACTAGACTGTCAGTAGTCTCACTCGTACACCTTTGCATATTCTAATGTTCGTACATTTCAAAATTAAATCATGGCCTGTATCAATTTAAATTTTGTTTCAAAGGTTAGTTTTTACACATAGTGGATTTGCACAGACCTTACTTATCATATATATATATATAATATATATTTATAGATATAGATATATTTATAAAATAGATATATGTATTAAGTATAATGGATGCATGTATATATATATATATATATATAATAAAACAAAAACGTAAATATTATTTTTTGTTTTCTATTATTTATTATTTGTTTATATATACATATATATA